ATTTCGAATATATGTGTATCGGCTTAAGATATATCGTAATCATCATTCATTTATGCCATACTCTTAGTTACTATTATTAAATTTAGTAATTTTCGACGTAAACATTTTCATCTTAGTTCAGTATTTTTTCAACATCTATGAGGAAGATACATGTACATTAGACATTTATTTAAAATGATTTGTATTGATTCTTAAGCAATACATATAACTGCTTTTTGTAACCAAAATGGACAATAGATGATTTAATAAAAAATTGAGTGTAGTGAATCTCGGCGTTGATCTTCATTGAAAATAGTGTTTACTAAAATAACTTAAAAATAATTGTTTTCAATTTTTGTATTACAACGTATTTGTAACATATGTTTATGTAGAAAGTAGTATGTAAATGGAAGAGATACTTTTCGTCGTTTCACACTTTGATATAGGACATAATTGTTTACAATGAAAATTACTATCGAGGAGTTTATTAGGTCACTGAGAAAAAAATTCCGTTACATTTTTGTGTTCTTTGTTGTTCAATAATGAATTTGATAGGGCGGATTCAATTCCTTCAAGGTCAGACTACTCGGAAACAAGATGAGACTACCGCAGTATTCATGCAAATGAAATGAGAATAAAAGAAGGGAGTAGGGAAGTACAGAAAGAGAGAAACGGGGGCGGAAAAATTAATTTCGTTAACCCTCTTGCGTTCTCCGCGGCATTAAAAGTTCTCAAGCGATGGTCTTCCGCGCGAATCCTTTACCCCTTTTAAAATGTGAACCCGCGAAATCTCTCTCTGCTACAAATGACGGCTTTCCTCTCCGCTTTAAAAATAGAAGATCTAATACTACCACTTGAACAAACTTACAGAGAAGTTACGTTTCCGTTGTAAGTGATGAAGTATCTGCTCTATACTTAAATTCTTTTTCATACCTATCATCCTGCCTAAACTTGCATATATATTACGAGTGCATTATGCACATTCTAATTTTCTTAGTTTGCTTTCGAGAAACTAATGCTAAAGAAACTTCTTCTGTGTGTAATAAAAGACATTGTATTATTATTATCACAAATTATGTTATCGTTAGAAAGGTTTCATTCATATTTATTCGATCCTTTATCTAAAGTCAAGGTATGAAAGAAATATTTTTGGTTGTGACAAGATAGGAGAAAAAGGGAAAAACTACGTGAATTTTTATTGATAATGTTATAAAGTAAATACGATTACGATTCTTGCATGCAAGATACACATAATTAGATTTTAAATAGAAATTTGAATAACGGAATATAGTTATTTGTATAATACACAAACAAAGTTAAAGAAATGATAGTGTGATTGAATTGGAAATGTTCCAAGCAGTATAACAGTTAATATAATACTGTTAATAAATGCATGAATGAATATACAGCCAGTCACGCAATATTCTTGGCATGCTATTTTATTAACTATAAAAGGCAACTGAAAATTTAATTGAAAAGATATATAATTTCGTTAAAGTAATGTGTAAAATTTCTATATTTTATTTCTATTTTTGTAGATAACTTGACAAAATCTGTTATTTATGTTTTTAATTGGACTTTATATTCTTTATAAACTTTATAAAGTTTAGAGACTGATTGTGAGTAGATCACTACATGCAATATTTTTTGCTTGAAACTGTCCTGTAGTAAATATTGAATTATAAATAGCATGTTATCGTCTTGAAACGTCCAGTGTTTTGAATCTACTTGTTTACATAGTTTAAGTAATTACTCAGTTGCGTTTATTGTCATTGACACCCAATATATTTGGCATCTTTAAAATATAGGTAACTGTATACAGTACAAAATATTTCTCGTTCCTAAAACATGTCGCATTAGCTACTAACATTTCAAGTCAGCAGTATCTGTTTCCCTTAAATCATATCAATAAAACATAAACTCATCTAGCAGATTCAAATTAGGGTTTTTATTGCTTGAAAGAATAATGTGTTTTTATTCTCCATTTTAAGTTAGATGAAATTTAACAAACGCAAAATATAATTCTCTGCGCTGTAACATTAAAGTTGTTTTTAAATTTGTTTAGCAA